GCAAAAAAGAAGAAAGGGACACACAATTTATCCCTAAGGATTATTTAGCAATTAATAAAAATGTGTATTCTAGAGCCAAACAGTCTTGGTTCAAAGCCCAGCAATGTAATTTAGGCTAACTAACTTCTTTCATTTTTCTCAGCTGTAAGGAGGATAATGATGATAATAGCAGTACATACACCCTTAGCTTGTTTCAAGATAAGTCACTGATGTAGAGTGCTGAGAAAATTTGCCAATTTATTAATCTTCGAACACTCAGTAAATGTTACTGTCATTGTTACAAACTTTACTAAACTTTTAATTCCTAAGCTTTCTTCTCTGACACGACAATGATCTAGAAATGATCACAGTTGTAAATGCTGCAAGTGGCCATCTGAACATTTAAAAGCCCAATTGTTTATATGATTAGGTACAGTTATTTACAAATGAGATGGGAAAATGGCTGACTTTAAAGGTAGTCTTGGGATAAGCCACAAAAGTTGTCCACACGAACCTAAGCAGTCATGGCGTTCTTAATGATGGGGACACATTTTCAGAAACGCATAGCTAGGCACTTTCATCATGAGTGAATATCATAAATTTACAAAAATTAAAACAGCTACATACTAAGTGAAAATATATTCTTATAGGACCACTGTCTTATACAAAGTACACCATTTACTGAAACATTGTAGTGGAACTCTTAACTACGTTTTGGGAGGAAGGTAGAGAATTAAGATGATAGTTCAGATCACTTAGAAGGCAAGGGTCCAAACCGGGGGAAAATCTTTCTGCTTCAACTTTCTAACCAAGCTAAGTTTGCTAAATACTTTAAACTCAGTCTAAGAAGGCCCAAATCTGAAAATGGTTAAGTACTGTATCCAAAAAAGTAGATCCAAGTGCATCAGTAAAACTGAATGTAAGCAATGTTTTGAAAACCCAGGCTACTTAATTCAGATAAGTCTATCAAGGTAACTTACATACTACGGAAGCTATACTACTATTCCATACTACTCCGTGGCAACCATGAGCATACCAAATAAACAACTGAAACACAGCACAATCAGCACATTTTCTAATCACCCTGCCCAAGCTGGGAAGAATCTTGTAGACTGATTAATTTAACTAAAGTCCTCAACAGTTTAAAGAAGTCTGATTCGGATGTAATAAAAATTTATTGGCATTGCTGATTTCTCAGACGTCAGTGCTTTAGCATGTCCTGCACTTCAAAACCTGCTTTGAAGACCAAACTACTTTCTACCTGGAAATATATTTTAAGAAGTCATAGTTAATAATCAGGGGCTGTTGTTTTCATGGTCTCTCTGATGCCGACTTCCACAGCCTTCATCTTACCTTCGAGTGTAATTCATGGTCTTCTTTGAAGAGACTGAGATCACAGTCCGTAGGGCAGGGATCAGTTTTATTAGAAATGCTCCCTGGGGTTAAAAACAAAAAGGTGGGAAAAAATATATTACAGATTTTCACTCCAGAGGATTTTCACTGCTGAAATCTAACAGCTTATATAAAGCCTGACAAATGGGGGTAAAAGGATAAATTCTAAAAGCACCAAGCTGTTTTATGTCCCCAGTTTTAATTCAATCAGCTTCCAAACTTCAAGTAGGACTCAGCTACCAGCCATGTCGTGGTGATGCAGTTTATAAGCAGCAGCTGTTTCTGATGTGCTTTCCTACCCTCTTCCAGAGAGGATTCTCTACTACCAGCTACATTTCTGGGATTATGTTTCCAGAGAAATTCCCTATGCCTTGTATGGATGGTCCAATATGAAACACTGACAGAATTTTGTTTTCTGCCTGCATTCAGGGCTCCGCACCTGAGCCACCTTGCTCGTATCATGCGTGACTTGCTCTCTATAAGGAATCCTGAGGCTCTGCACTGCTGACCTTTGAACCATGTTGTTCTTCAGGGTGGCTTCATTGAGCTGAATACCTGCCCTCTGTCTACTCAACACCAGTAGCACCCAACTCTTCCATCCCATTAAAAATGTCCCCAGACATTGCCAAAGTCCTTCAGGGGAAAAAAAGAACCCAGTTTTGAGCACTATTTTAGTTAACAGACTCCTTGCAGACAAGGGTCTTGTTCACTTTTCTATCTCCTGCAGTATCTCATACACACAAGGTACTCTCTCCATAAATGCTTTTGAAAGAAAAACAAGTAAATAAATAAAAATGAAGATATCACAGAGGCAGCTATTACAATAGCTTTGCGCCTCCTAAGTCAATAGCTGGACTTCTCATGTGTGTGAACCCATGTGACAAGGCCTATCCCCTAGACCTTGTGACAAATTTCCTGCTCTAGAAGCTGCTAGAGCTCAGAAGGCCTCAGGAGAGTCAGGAGGTGAGGATGTTGACCTGATAGTTTTATTTTTTCCAGAAAGAAACTGAGCAATCAAAATCTTCTTTCTTTCCCCTTTTATTTCTTCCAAAGTTTAAATGGTGCTATCTCCTGCCATTTGAAATTTTCCTAGTTGGATATTTTTAAACAAAACTTTTAACAGAGTAAAACTTTGGGGATAGTTTTCCACAGCCTCATGTCAAAGCTTCAGGAGTCTTTTCTTTCCCAAGGATGAATCCAACAGCCTCTTGGTCCCCAGCCATGGCCGTTATGGCTCATTCACTGAGGGAAGAGATGGTTTCATTGTGGGTTTTGACACTGGCCCCAGTGGACTGTGCCAAGGTAAAGGTAAGCACCAGGAAAAGTCAGCCGGGCGAGGCAGCCACCTGACACTTCAGCCTTTTGACATGCGATCATACTAATCCTCAGAAGAGCCTCTTTACTTTGAGTCAAAAGTAGAATTTGTTGCTAGGGAGGTTGAAACGGTCAAAAATCAAGATGAGAAAGGGAAGAGAGGGCAAGGGGGTGGAGGGAACATTTTTATTTAGGTTTTAAATATATTATTCTTTTTAAATCCTTGTACATTTTCAGTGTATAATTGCTAGCTGGAATAACATATGAAGTAGTAATCAAACGTACATATTAATCTTTTCCAAGAACCCCATTTATATGTTTTTACTTTATACACACACACACACACACACACACACACACACACACACAACTGTTAAACTAGTTATCATTATACTATTTGATGAGTTTGGAAATTGAGACTCATATCGAGACCTTCCCCCAAATCAAACAGCGAATTAGAAACAAAACTTAGTCCCAGTTCTGCTTAACCTCAAAGTCTATGCGTTTAGTCCTCCTGTTGTATTTTACTTGAGAAAACTCACCTCTCCTTACACACATTTTTAAACATTGGATAATGCATTTACTTTTCAATGCTGCTGGAACAAATTATTACAAATCTGTGGCTTAAAGCAACATCTCACATTTTTGTGGTTCAGGAATCTGGGCATAGCGTAGCTCAGTTGGTTTCTCTACTTAAAAGCCTCACAAGACTAAGAGCAGTGGATTAACCATGGCTACAGTTGCAATCTGCATCTTGGGATCCTCTTCAGGCGTGTTGGTGCTGGAAGAATTCATTTTCTTTTTTTTGTTGTTTTTTGGTTTTTTGTTTTTTTCCAGTACTGGGAATCGAACTCACAACCTTGCGTTTCCAGGCAGGCGCTGTACCGCTGAGCTAAATCCCCAGCCCCTGGAAGAATCATTTTCTTCTCTCATTTTCCATGTAGTTCCATCTACTTTCAAGTCAACAGCAAGAGGTTGCTCTCCTCACGTGCACTGAACCTCTCCAGTTTGTCTTCTGCTACTAGCCTAAGAAAGCTCTCTGCTTTTAAAGGTTCACGTGATTAGATTAGGTTCACCCAGGTAATCTCCCTCCTAAATGGGAATGTGATGAAGATTAAAGTTTGGACATCTTTGAGACCCGTATTCAAAATTCTGTCTGCCATGAACAATTTCTGCTTTGAGACTTTCACATTCTCGCATTAAAATGTAATGATGTCATACATATTTAGGTAACAAAGTTCCGATCAAAGAGATTGACTTCTAAAAGTCTAACATTTTCTTTCTTCTCATGTGAAATATTCTTTTCTCAAAAACTGACTTTTCTAGAGATAGAGGCTTTTATTTGGGATAAATTGTTCCATCCTTCATTAGTTAGCTTTTCTGTCTCTGGGACAAAACACCCAACACCCACAATTTAAAGGAAGAAAAGTTTGTCTTGGCTTACAGCTCCAGAGGATTCAGTCTATGGTTTACTGGATTGAAGGCACAAACAGCACAGCAGAAGAGCATGGAAAAGGAAAACAACTCACTGAATGGTGGTCAAGAAGCAGAAAGACAAGAGAGGAGCCTGGGCCGAGTATGTGCACTTCTAAGTTATGCTCCTGTGGCTCATCCCTTTAAACCAGGCCCCAACTCCAAGTGTGAGACTTTGGGGAGACATTTTAGATCTAAACCATAACACATTTGCATTCATAAACTTGCATTTCTATTCAATAAAAAATCTTAGTTATATCAACAAGTCATAAGATATAAATCTTTTTTTCTTAAAAGTGAGATTCTTGTTCTCCCTTTAGATTTTCTTGCCATTGTTCCTTAACTCCTGTCTGCCCCCTATAACCAGTTTGTTTTCCTCATGCTCATATAATGAGAAATAGCTATACATATATCAATTAGCACACTAATGTATACATTCATGCGGGTGCTTTTCTTCACTGAACAAAAAGGAAATAATATGCTGCACATGTCCTCTTATATCCTTTCTGATTCAGTAGTATCTGGTGGAATGTTCTTTAAGTCAACAGCTGTATTTCTAAATTGTAGCATAATTTATTTAACCATTCCCTACTAATAAACATGTACTTCTTTTCTTTATTTTTATTTTCCTATCAAAATGAGTAGTACAGTAAAATCCTTGAACCCGTGTTCATTTATACTGTTTTATTTCAGTAAATGGATAGGTTTTCAGGGTGGATTTTTTCGATCAGTGTTTGTATACTTTAAATGTTAATAGGTAGTGCCAATATATATATGTCTATATCTTTTTTAACTATATTTTGATAGACAATTTATAAGAAAACCTATTTCTCCAAATCCTTGCCAGAAATAGATCACTTTTGAATTACTAATTTATAATATTATTAGATTATAATCATAGAGGGTGACTTCTACTATTGAAGTTTTTATATCTCCCTCATGTATATAAAAACCTTGGTAGATTTTTATACTCAATGGCTCTGATATTTGAAGCACATAGACTGTGTCACTATCATATTTTTGTCCTAACTTTACATTACAAAATAACTTCCTTTACTATTCATATATTTTTAATTCTTAAATGCTAGTTTGTTTGATGCTAACACTGTTTCTCCAGCTTTACTCTTGTTTTAATTTTGAAGTATCACTTGCTTCACTTACAGTTATTCAACTTTTCTTTATCATTCTCTTAATGTATACTTACTGTAAGCACTAAATGATCAAATTTTCCCTTTGACTGTGCATTTACTGGAGGAATTTTGTACTATTATAAATGTAACTTATTTTAATCTGTTTATGTTTAGCTTGTTTAGCTTATGTTTAGCTTGTTTAGCTTATGTTTAGCTTCTGAGCTTATTGATACTAATTCTTTTTTAACTCTCCATATTTTGGGGGGCAATACTGGAGATTGATTCTAGGACCTTTATACTGAGCTACACCTATAGACTTTTTAATTTTTGTTTGATACAGAGTATCAATAAATCGCTAAGTTGCTCAGCCTGAGCTTGAACTTGTCATCCTTTTACCTTGACCTCCTGAACTACAAGAATTATAGGTGTTGGACCAGATCAATAGACTACACCACCACACCTGGCTCCATTGCCAACTTTTAGCACTGGCCTGAAGGAAACTTTGGGCAGAGCAAAGGCTCTAAAGGTGCTGAAAAAAAAAGTTTATTATTACCCTAGACAAACATAACATATGAATCAATAATTTAAGACTGGAAGGAGGTACTAAAACACAAGAGGACTGCAGACTCACCACCAACTCCCTCCATATAGTCCTTCACCTCTTCATTCTAGCCCTACATGATGCTTCTGCTAAAAGGAAAAGGGAGGAACCATCTCCTTCCTCTCAGTTTCAAAACTTTGGATCCAAAGAAAATTGTGGTACTTTTATATAATGGAATATTACTCAGCTGTAAAGAAAGATAAACTCGAGGCTTTTATAGGCAGATGGTCACTAGAGACCATATTCATAAGCGAAATAAATCAAACATACATGTGCAAGCACCGCATTGTTTCTCTAGTGTAAAGCCTGAAAGAGTTAATTTAAACTAGGAGATATGATAGACATTGGGAATTGATAGGAAAGCACTCATAGGTAAAGGATAACTGGAATATGGGAAAAGAGAAGGGAAAGAAGGAGAAAGTTTGTATATATGTATATGCAGGATAGTTAACACAGGTGTTCTACTGTCCTGTATTTCCTTGCTGAAAGAAACTGTCAGTGAGGCATTGGTTGATTAGCTTTGTAT